GAGGAGCAGGGGGAGGGGCCGGCGGCAGCGGCAGCGGTGGCGAAGGAGGGCAGGTTAGCGGTCCCGCGTGGGTCCCGGCGCCCTCACGCACCTCCCCGCCGAGCGGACGGCGGCTGGCGTGGCGCGCAGCCCACGCCTCCCCCGGCCTGTGGGGCGGGAGGGGGTCGGCGTCCGGCGAGACCCCTCCGGAGCCGAAAATACCGAGGTTCGGGAGCCGAAACACTGGCCGGCGGTCAACGAGTATCTCCTGTAGTACTTACTTTTAAACACCAAGTCGTCTGCCAGCGAGCTGAGTTAACTTCGGACAGTCTTTGTTGGGAGTATCCCAACCTCGGATTAAATATGGCGTTAAAAGCTGCACCAAGCTGTTTGTGAGTTAGGCTCAGGGATTACTTAGCTCTATAACTGACCAAGTGATATATATAAAATATCTATAAATCCTGTGATTTAGAGTAGGAAGAACTTTAGCGATAGTATTATCAAACATTTTATTCTGTTGATACTTCAGTCATTTATGTATTCTGTTAACCATATCTTCTACACTAAGTGCTTAACTTACACTCCACACTTTCACGTATCTACCTCAAATTTCACAATTTTGAAAATGCTGGCCTGAATACTGACAGGTTTGGTTGTGACAGGGTCACTGCTGACCGTACTGCCAAGCGGTCTGCCACACCGCTGCGGGCCCTCAGGTTTCCATCCTGGCCCTCACTGGTATCTCAGACTCCCGTTGGAAGGTCTGTGGACCAGAGGGGCTTTGCCAAATATCTCCACAGGTGGGCTGCTGAGCGCTTACCCAACAGGCATTTCAGAGTCCCAGGCAAGGATCTTGAAGACCCAAATGACTAATGCAAGACCAATAAGCCTGCTGCCTTTGGCCACATCACAGGACTTCCCCATTGTTTGCATAATGGTTAGATAAGCACTTAAATTTAGTCAGTCTAGTTATAATATTTCTAAAAATCACACAGTTTTTTTCTTTCTCGGGAGTAGATTTGTTCTTGATTGGTTGATGTAGTAGTACTACAGGCCTCTTTCTCTGACAAAGAGCTAGCAAACAGCAGATGAGTGACAAGACTCCTCACTTGAGTGAAAGCAAAGTGCAGGTGATCTCTCTAAATGCATACAGTTTGGCAGGAATTCCTTCAGAACCCCTGCAGTTGTATAGCATAAGGAGAGAACTCTCCCTGACCTTTCCATATTCCTGCTGCTGAAGATTAATGTGAAAAATCAGGGCTGCCCAATTTACTGCTCAGTAAGTGCAGCATGGGTTATGTTGTCATCGTTTTATTCAGGGTTGGAAGTGGCTGGAAATAAAAGAAGCAAGCAAAAATAAGGCCTATGATGGGACACTTCAACAGGGAGTGAAAGGCGTCATCCTGCAGTTTACATCTGTCCAGTCATGATTTGGATGGCCTACCTTAGATACTACAGAAATACTAGAGGAAAAAGGCTGTAACTAATTTTATGTTTTAACTTACTTACAGTTAGAACTGCTCTGGTCATGCTACGAAATGAAAGTTGATTTGTTTGTTTTTCAGATCAGCTAAACTGTTAATGAGTGCTGAAGAAAATATAGACGACATTATTGATGAAATCTGTAATGACAGCAGCTTTACCAAAACACCTCTGGTGAGTAGGAGTCTGGAGAAATGCAGAACAGATGAGGTTCAGCGATGGAAAGAAAAGCACCATAAACTAAAACTGTTTTAAAGCAAAAAATTAACTAAAACAAGCTGTAGGATGAACTTGGAAAATAAAGCAGGAAGGAAAATGCAACAGTCCTATAGTGAGGAACAGGAGAGTTACAAAGAGGTGGTCTTACCCAAGCAGTAACAGGCGATTAAAGGAAATGCTCAAGATAGAGCATAGCATCAGATACCACAGAATTACAGAATGGTTGAGGTTGGAAGAGACCTCTGGAGGTCATCTCATCCAACCACCTGCTCAAGCAGGTCTACCTAGAGCTGGTTGCCCAGGACTGTGTCCAGACAGCTTTTGAATATCTCCAAGGATGGAGATTCTACAGCCTAAGTAATCTGTTCCAGTGTCTGACCACCCTCACAAGAAATAAAGAAGTTTTTTCATATGTTTAACCGGAATTTCTTGTATTTCAATTTGTGGCCATTGCCTCTCCTCCTGTCAGTGGGCCTCACTGAGAAGAGTCTGGCTACATCTTCTTTGTTTTTCCCTGTCATGTATTTTTACACATTGATAAGATTTTCCTAACCCTTGTCTTCTCCAGGCTAAAGAATTCCAGCTCTCTACAAATACAGCCTCTACCTGTATGTCAGATGGTCTAAGTCCGTAATCACCATTATGTCCATGTCTCTTTTGTGCTGGGCACAGAACTCCAGACATGTCTGTGAGGCCACATCGGGAGTATTGTGTCCAGTTCTGGGCTCCCCAGTACACGAGAGAGGTGGAGCTACTGGAGAGCCTCCAGCAAAGGGCTGTGGAGATGATACAGAGACTGGGGTATCTTTCATATGAGGAGAGGCTGGGAGAGCTGGGACTGTTCAGCCTGGAGAAGAGAAGGCTCCAGGGGTATCTTGTCAATGTGTGTAAATACCTGATGGGTGGAGTAAAGAAGGGGCCAGACTCTCTTCCATAGTACCTAGTGACAGGACGAGAGGCAATGGGCACAAACTGAAAGACATGAAATTCCATCTGTATACAAGAAAACACTTTTTTTACTGCGAGGGTGGTCAAACACTGGCACAGGCTGCCCAGAGAGGTTGTGGAGTCTCTGTGGAGATTTTCAAAACTGAACTAGACACAGTCCTGGGCAAGCTGCTGAAGCTGACCCTGCTTTGAGCAGGGGCGGTGGCCTAGGTGATCGCAAGAGGTCCCTTGCAATCAAAATGGTTCTGTGATTCTGTCTCACCAGTACTGAGTAGAGACCAAGGATCACCTCCCTTGACCTGCTGGCAACGTCCCTCCTAATGTAGCCCAGGATGCTGTTGGCCTTCTGTGCTGCAAGGGCACACTGCTGGCTCATGGTCAATTTATCACTGACTGAATTTCCCACGACCTTCTCTGCAAAGCTGCTTTCCAGCTGGTCAGCCCTCAGCGTGTTCTGGTGCATGAGGGTTATTCCTCCCCAGGGGCGGGAATTTGCATTTCCTCTTAGCTGAACTTCAAGAGATTCCTCTCAGCCCGTTTCTGCAGTCTGTTGAAGTCCCTCTGAATGGCAATGCAGTCATCTGGCATGCCAACCACTGCTCCCCATTTTGTATCATCTGCAAATTACTTCTGTTGTTTGACAGCAGGAGATGGTGATGAAGCTGCAAATTTGCATTGTTAAGACATTCAGAGTGACAGAAGGCCTTGAAAATAGATATTCATTTAGGTATCATCAGTGGAAAATTGTATTATTTATACTTCATAACCCCCTGTGCAGATGCTCTTATTTTCATGAGTGATGTTGGTTTTGCTTTGGTTGTCTTTGATTTCTTACAGAATGGCTAAGTCTGAACCAACAAAAAACACTTGTATACCACAATACGTATGTCTGAGTGAGAGAGAACTACATCAGTAAATTTCCATAATTTTATCATTTTATATTCCTAGGACTTCCCATTTAGGATCTAGAATTCAAGTATTCTAGAAGTCAAATAACGTGGTTTATGTGCAGCAAATAACAAACTTTTCAAAGGCACTTTATCTTTTTGAATAACGTAGGTCCTTGATGTGTTTTCAGTAAAACAAAAGCTCAAAAAACCTGAGGGAGAAGGTTACTAAATTAAACTGTTTTTAAAAGCAAAATTATTAAAAAGCAGGCGTGAAATTCTAAGTCTTGATTGTAAAGTCAAAGTGATCGTGTGGTGTTGAATTCCTTCATACAGAGCTGGGAACTCAGTATGGGAAGAGAAGCCTCGTTCCTCATTTAACTGTTACTTCAGCAGCTCTTGTCTCAGAGTGTCACAGAAAGATAAGCAATACAATTCCCAAATTCTTAGTCCCCTTCTGTGACTGAGATTTTCTGGCTCCTGCTTATTAAGTAAAACAGAATATTGTTACCTTGCTGTAATGCTGCCTTTTATTCTTTGATTGCTTTTTAAATAGAAATTGAAGTCTAACTCTGCAAGTCTCAGACCTGAAAGCAATAGTGCTGTTGTACAGGCTCATAGGAAAAGGTAAGTAAAAAATGTTTATGTTGAACACAGCTTGATTACAGCTTGTTGTCAGTCTAATAATATTGCTACTGTTCAATCTGTGTTGACATTAACTAAGAAAGAAACTGAGTACTCAGAGAAGTATTGTTTTTGAAGAAAAAGATAAACAGAAAGATGATTTTGAAGAATTACTAATGTGCTTTCATGTGTCAAAATTATTTGTTATAAATTTATTAATTGTTTAAGCTATTGAACAACAGCTTCCTTTGACTTGTGGACATATACATTTATCAAATGCTGCAATATATAGTCCCATATGTATTTGGTATAGAGAGTGGTTGTTGTAGAGTTTTTCTTTGAACACCTTGGTAATGGAATTTTTAAAATTCTGTAGTTTGTAAGCATTTGGATGCTTTGCCTATATTTAATAAATATTATTTTAGAAATACCATACTGTTAAACTAGGAGAAGCATTGTACTACTTTCTCAAAAATGTTTCGCTATAATTTAATATTTTTTAATGAAATCTATATAGATGCTGTCCAGTGTACCTGGGTGGAAGCTCTTCACCATATGGCATAGGAACGAATATTTCAAAAAGGTAGGAAATGTGAAAAAAAAATTCTACTTGTTTTATCATTATTTTTATTCACAACTGTGTTTCTGTGGCGGTACAGTGTTCTGCATTTGAACTGGACAGGACAGCCCTATATTCATCTCAACATATGTCTGCCTGAAACTGCAGTTGAAGTCGGCTGGTCCCTTCCAGTCCTTTGGTATTGACCACTAGATCTTTTGTTCATTTGAGGAGTTGAAAGATGTGTGCAAATGAGACACGAGACTCCAAAAATCAGTAACAGGTAGTTAAGAAAATTGCTGCTGTAGAGTATTGTTATTTTTCCCTGCCTCTCTTCATCTTTCTGTGTGATGCTGAGTATGTGACTTAAATCAGCGGACTGGTTTAAATCATCCCAGAGCCTGAAATGAAAATAGTCAGAGTGCTTTGCAACTGCAGCTGAACTTAGTAGGAGAGGTACTTTAAAGATTTATCCCTAGTATCCTGTAGAATGTTATTGCTTTTCCTTGTGGGATTTTTTGTAGTAATTATGCGTTTGATGCATATTTGGATGCTGGTCAGGTGCCATACCAGTGAGGAAGACTAAAGAGAATATATCAAGAGAATATCAGTTTATTTCATGTGTTCTGTGAGGTTAGGAACCTGTAAAAATAATACCTGATCACATAAGTTAAAACACATACCATGATGAATGTGCCAGAGATGTCAAAAAATTAAGATTAGAGGGTAACCTTGCTTCTAGTATTTCTGAGTGAGCGCTGTACTTTAAAACAGTTATGATCTGCATAGCCTCTCTGATTGTAATAAGCTCTTGGAGCTTTCTGTTCTTTTTTGGCCAGAACGTGTGATCAACTACGTTGTACTGCTTGCGACTTCCGTGTGTCACTTTTCAATGACTACATCTGGGATCAGTCCTGTGATTATCTTTTTTTCAGGTATGTCTGAGGTGGATTTGGTATTAGTATTGTGTTGTTGTGCTTTGGGGCTTGATATGAATGGAAAAGATGAAAAGTCCTGAGCACTCCTGTGTTACTTAAAAAGGAGCATGTGTGCAACCTGTTCAGGGATTGGGTGGGAAAGTCTGCAGGGAGAGGGATGCAACATCTCCCATAATCGTGCCTTTCCATTTCTTCCCCCGTCACTCTACCTCTGTGCTTTTTAGAAAGAATTCAAGTTTCATGGATCAAAAGGCAACTTTACTGCTGAAATGAGCAGACAATCTGTGTGATGGGTTGACCTCTGGTGTGCCATTGCGGGATGCCTACAAAATGAATGCAGATTTTTCAGCATGTACTTCTCACCGTACCTTCAGTCATACAAACTGTGATTGTTTCAAATCAGATTTTGGTTTTTTACCCAGTACTGTAGTAGGCATGCTCCTAATACAGACATCAAATTGGAATGCCTCAGGTTTTAGTAGTCTCTGTATGTGCCCGTTAACTGTTGGAGGTAGTGGAATTGTTCAGAGTATGTGCTTGGCCACTAGGGGCTGGACAGCTGGAGATGAACAGTAGTGGGTACATCATCTCCTTTTCTATTATTTTTCCTGTATTACATGTTAGGTTTTTCCTGTATTTTCCTTCCAGTTTCAAAATTTGTATTTCTCTTTGAATGCAAATCTTATTTTCCCATTACTTAAAGCAGCATTAAAAATATAGTGCTGCACTAGTCTCCTGAGATGAGTTTGGTAACTGGAAAGGTTAAATAAAAATATGATCCTTTTATTTACTCAAAGTCAAAATTATTCTGCTTCTGAGTTCTTGAAATTAATATTAAAAAAAAAAAGAAATGAAAGGCATTAGTATCAGATAGTTGTAACATTGATTAAAATCTGTAATCTTTAGCAAGATATTTAGCTATTTATTTTGACCAATCTGAAGTTTAAAAAAACAAAGTTGAAGATTAAACATTTGCCTTCCATGAACAGGTGTCTGACCTCTTTTTCTAAAAAGTCTTCCTTTGATGTTTGTTTTGGGTTTTCTTTATTTAGCTGGACTTGTTAATGTTGTTTCTGAGCAACTGAGTGGTCAGTAATTGATGGCCAGGAGGAGGTCATGAGAGCAGGGATAGTTAAAATGCTAAATCTGTTGTGCTTGATGCTTGCATAGGAATTACTTGTGGTTTGATGTACGTTCTTCCCTCTTAAGGCCATTTCATTTCAGTCACTTTAACAACCATCCTGAATAACAGTTCCTGATGAAAATTTTATCTGTTGTTGTACCCATTCTGCATAGGGGTTTTTACAGTAAGTTTGATAAGATAAATACATTTTTGGATAATTTCTTAACACGACAATTAACTCTATCTAGTTTTCTTCCCAACTCTTTCTCTGGAGCTCACACAGGGTCTCTAAACCCGACTGAGGACATTGTTTACAAAAATTTCAATCTCCAGTTGATCTGAGAATACAGCAAGTACACACTGAGACTGCTCTCAGGAAAGGATTATGTTCAAAACAGAATTTAAACACATCCCTAAATTCATTCATGACAATGGTACTCAGAAATGTTCTGAAGAGCTTTTCTGAATTGAAATGGCCTTAGGAATCTTTTTTCTTTAAAAAAAAAAATGCGTGATCCTAAACTGAACTCACTTGATTGGCAGGAATAACATGCCTGAGCTCAGTAAACTAAGAGCAAAGATGATAAAGAAGAAAGGAGCACGAGCGTATGCTTGTCAGTGCAGCTGGAGATCCATTGATGAATTAACTGACCTCCAAACAGACCAGCAGCTTCGGTGGGTTTGTGGTAAACATGCAGAATGAAGTCCTTTTGTGCGTGGTACCTACTTGTGTGGAAACAGGTCATAAACTCAATTTGTGTCCCCCACAGTTTTCTGAGAACAGATGGAAACCTGAATACTTATATCTAGAAATAGATTATAACACCCAGACTTCAACCTGAAAACTTTTTTTCAATTTATCTGTCTTGCTAGTAATGTTGGGAGTTGAATTATTAGAAGAAACAATCAGTTTGGAGGCTTTCTAGATGCTAAATGAGGTTAAAGCTTATACTCAGTAGTGTTAAGAAAGGAAGAGGAAATTGACAGATTTAGGCATGGGGCAAAGCACCTTGAGACTGTTCCTCATATCTAGCAGAGCGCCTTATTTCCCATGTTTGCAGAATCTTGGACTCAAAATGGTGGGTTGGGATGCAGCCATGACACACAAGCATATGAATTTCTGCACAGAAATTAATACTGCTGTTCTGCTTTGCTCATAGCTGTTAATGAGCAAGTGGTTGTAGATCTCTTAAAAAATTACTGCAAGATCAGCTCTCACCTCGAAGGTTTCAGCACACCCCAAAACTTTACTTTCTTTTAGCCACCAGTAGCCAAAAACTGCAGGTGCTGGAAATTTCCATCCAGTTCCTACTGCTTTCTTCAAAGCACTTTCTGCTGACTAAAGACTTTTACCACAGTGAATTTCTTGGACTTCCCTTCAGCCTTCACTGCAAGAGGCGAACAAGTTATTGTGCAATTATTAAATACGGTGCAATTTTAAAGAGATTCTGAAGAGTGTATAACTCTTTATCAATATTTTCAAGGGAAAAAAGGCTTAGGCTTTTGAGTGAGAAAATATATATCCCCACTGACATTCAAATTTGGATTTTTTTCAGTTTCACTTAGCTCTCACTTCAGCTTCACTTCAAAATACTATGTATTCAGAAAGTGTAACTGTCCTGTTTCAACACACTCCCTTCCCCCAGTAACATCATAAAACTACCTCCAGTATCATGTTACTTGGTGAATTGTCTTGATTACAGTTAATGTCACTATAGTTTATGAGCTCTTTCTTTTCATTCTGTATAAATAACACAGGAGATGGATATGGGTTTTGGGTGGGCAGAGAGGAAAGAAAGGATTACCAGTCCTGGCAATTACTAAATTGAAAAGTGTCTCAAAATGGGAAGTCTGTCAGTATTTTTGCTACGCACTATGTGATACTGTACAGATAAATGCAAAATTACTTTTGTGCAATTCTAGCTATACAAAGCCATTTCTTTTTTTGTGAAGTTTTGCTCATGGCCCTAATCTGTACATTTGTTCTTTTTCTGAGCTTTTCCAAAACAATTGCATGATCTTTCTTATAGAGGTCATCTCTTGAACCTGTTGCTTTGTCTGTACCCCTCTGAAAGAGCAGATCTCAGTAGTGACCAGAGGCACAATGTACTCTGCATCCTACTCACCTTCCCCCTCCATGAGTGTTTTTTTAGAACCTGCAGAGGACCAGCAGTGTGCCTGGGAGGCGGGGCAGTGCTTTACATACACAGTGCTTCAGTGCTCTAGAGTGCATGTTCCAGTGCCACATGCGGCCTTGCTAGTAGGTTCAGAGGTGAGTTGGCTTTGGAGAGGTACTACTTGGCATAATGGTATAGACATATTTAAGGTCATGTATTGTTTTCAATGCAATTGGTGTTTCAGGCTGAAGTTTCAACTGCTAGAGTCTAAAACTGCAGGTTCAGGAGACAGAGAGACCCAGAGACCAGCTGATTAATACTCAGTCAGCTACTGGAAGAGGTCTGCTTGTCTTTCTGTCCTTTGTGAAGAGATAGCCCCTGTGTGGACTGTAAGCAGTGTTCCTGGGTTTTCTTCAGGTGGGCCTGAGCGATTTCCAGTCCCAGAGAACATCAGTGCTAATGGTAAGAGAAGAACCCAGCAGTAGTATGTAATTTATTAACAAGCTCTAGAGAAGAAGAAACCTACTTTCCATTCTTCTTGAAGAAGAATGCATTTCAAAAAGTGCTGAGTTGCCTTAGCTTGCCTGTTCCAAGGCCATTTGAAACTGATGACCAAGTAGCCCCGCAGGATGCTCTTTTGGCCTGCATTTGCACTGGAACTTGTGCCACAATGTAGGGAAAAAGTTGGGCTTGCAACTTGTGAGCAGGAAATGGGGAAATCCTAACACCCATCTCAGTTCATGAGTCTTACATGACTTGGAAAAGGAGCGTGTCCCCTGTACCCCGTTTTAAACAAACTAATAGAAATAGTCACCCTCTCTGGAACAGTTTGCACTACCAAGTGTGTGGAGCAAATCATGCAGAAACAAAAGTTCAAGACATCCGTTCTAGTGATTTTTACGACAAAAATACAGCCTGCAGCACTTCAAAAGCGGAGGCTAGGAAGGAATTGAGACAAAAGGACTAAGAGTGTAGGAGAAGTAAAAAGGATTAGCACCAATATCTGTTGACAACATTAGTCAGCATTTCTCCGAGGTCACCTCATCCCTCAGTCTTCTGTTAGCCTGGAGAGTTGTAGAAAGAGAGTTCTTCTGGGTGGAGATTGTTGTCAGGTGATTGTATCACTAACGCCACTAAGACTGCACTCCAAGCACTGAAAATGTTAGGAGATAATCTTTATTAGTAAATGTGTGTGAAAACCTGAGCATTCCCCTGAAATCATCATGCTTATTCAAGTATAGTTACTTGTTTCTAGCCTTGGTCAGAATGGTGGGATATGACAGCTCTTTGTCCAAGTGAAGTTTTAAACAGGTGCAGAAATAGTGCTTATTGTATTGGTTTTCATTACAGAATTTAGCATATTTCTAGATCTGATAATAGTTACTATGTCATTAAATATAATTATTTTGTTGGAAAAAGGAGTGGTATTAAGTATTTGATTTCCCTTCCTTTACTTTCTTCAGTTACATGTTACAAACCACTCCAAAGTCCTCAATGAAAAGAATGTAAAGAAAGGTAAAATTAGAGCTTGAATGTTCATTTGAGGAAGGTATTGTAAGATTGCACAAGGTTTTCAAGATGTAGCCCAGACCCTAAGTGATATTTCCGTGTCAGTTATCTGAGATAGCAGGGACTATGTAAAGAATTTTGTTTAAGAATGCCATTCAGCTGTTGTCAAACGGAAGTACTGGAGAACAGTTTTGCTATGTATAAATGTGACCATTGTTTTCCTCCATTTTTTTTCTTTGGAAGTAATAATACCATTTCTGTTTGTGAAACGGGCAAGGTGAAAACTTGAGACTTTCATTTTGTTTGGGTGATATGCTTGGAAATTTTTTATTCTGCAGCAGATCCCTCAACAAAACAAAACCAATGAAGGATGACAAAATGAGAATCCACACAAAAGCATTCACTTGGAAATGTAGTCAGTGGTTTAGTGTCATACCAACTTTTCTAAATCTGTGTTCCTGCAGTACTTCTGGATAGGAATCCAATTCAGATGTATATAGTACATTCTTATAGCTTTTCTTTATCAAATTTTAATGTGCTGTTCTGACCATATCTCACTTGTTTTACCTGCAAACTATGGAGGGTGTCCAACCCAGTTGCTGAGTATAGCTCAGTAGAGTAATTATTAAGGATCTTGCCCTGCCATAAAATTTAACTTACAGCATCACACATTGCAAGCTCTGCACTGTATAAAATTGAACAAAGATATTTTTTTTCTGAGCACCCATTTCAGTTTTGTACTGAAGGTATTCTGCAAATGCTAGGCACTGGAAGCTGCCACTTGCTGAAAGACTGCTCACTTCTCTTGTTTCCTGACATGGGAGTCTTTGGGTCATGTAACCAGCACATGTGGTAGTCAAACAATAGGAGAGGGACTGTGCTGGGAGCTGCGTAGGCAAATTTTTCTTCCTGCCAGGCTCTTTTTGTACAAGACCTGACCAGTTTTGTCTGCTGTGTGACATCTGATAACCGCAGACAGGCCACCCTGTAGGGGGTGGAGTAAAGGAGCATCAGGTGCTGCTCATTTGCAAGGCCCACATATGATTCCTGGGATGTGGCATATGTGCTTCAAGGAACGCATTTTTCAAATGTTGATACTTCAATAAAATGAAAAGTTGGAACAAATCTGAATTGTGTGTTGTGTAAATGCTATTGTGTTGTTCCAAAGAGAAGCCTTATAAATGTTATGTAGGACCATGTTTTCTCTGTCAGAAGGGTTATGAAATGCCCTTAGTACAAAAACACTGTCCAGCTTATAAGAAACCATAAGTCCTGTTGTGTGTGTTTTCTCACATCGATGGGGATGCAGCAAATACCTGAAAATTAAATGAGCTTTAACATTCTTTACCAGATAACATGAGGAGAGCACATTAAATTATAGAGAGCTCGTAAAGGTGGCTGCATTTACCACATTTCTTGGATGTTTACCTAGGATAAAAGGTGGAGCCAGCTGCTGTGGAAGGGGGCATATAGCTAACTTCTTGCAGAGTAGGATGCTGGTACCTTTGTGTATCAGTCAAGGCAGGTTTTCACTAGCATCACACTGGTCACTTAAAAGAGGGAGATCAATCAAGGAATCACAGCATTTGCTGTCCCCTGGATCTCGCTGTAGAAAACCATTCTTAGTACCAGGAAGAAGTTGCTCTACATATGGGAGTTGGAACAAATGGTGTTTCTCCATCATGGAGAAATGCTGCGTGGCATACGTTAGAGTAACAGACATAAATATTTCCTATACTCCATTCTGAATTTGGACTCTAGGCGTTGGTGCTGTTCAGGCAATAATTACTTCCCAGACTTAGTGGGCAGTGTGGACTCTGTGAGAACACACAGAAAACACCCGCTGCCTCAGGAGTACTCCTGACTTACCTTATTTACTACTTGCAGTGTCACAGTGCACCGTTAGAAGGTAGTGACCATGTACGTTTAATTCATATTGACAACTTTTCTGTTGGGTTAGATGTGCTTTAAAAGTATGCAATTTGGGGTAAAATGGGATTATACAATCTAGTCTGTAGAGGGCAGAGCAACACCGCTGAGTGTTAAAGTTCAGCTTCTGCTTCACTAATACAAGCTCATACTTCTTTTTTTTCTAGAATAATGAAGATTTACATTCAACCAACCGAGGCTGCTTGCATTTGTCTCCTACTAGTGTGATTATAAGTGGGGTAGCCAGATCTGAGGCAACTCCACTTTATTTTTGTGTGACTTCATCCAAATGGTCCTGAAGTGGTCCTTGACCAGTACTAAAGCAGATGATTAACTTTTTTAGCTCTCAGCTAAAGAAGCATAAAAAAACCCCTGTGTCTCTGTGTGTGTATGTAGGTATATGTATGTATATGTTTATCCTCTAATAACATCAGTAGAAAAACTAAATTGCCTCAGGATTTACCTTTCACCCTGCCCAAATTAATTTTCCCTGAAAAGGTTGTTAAGTAATTTTGGCAAGTAGAGGTTGTGTACATTAGGATCTTCTAATGTTCAATACAAAAATTATATGGCACATCACCCAAGGTATGAAAAGATGGCAGATCTTTAAAAGGAAATAGTAAAAGGCCAAGATTTAGAAATACCAAAAAATTGTTTCTGTCTATGTAGGAAAGCAATGTAGACCAGAGATGCTGCAGAGCAAGCAGTCTGAGAAATGGCAGTGAGAACCGTCTGAAGACCTGCATCCAGCAGTTCATCGGCCATGAGCCATGGCTAAGGTTTTGGTGAAGTCTCACTCTCTGAACTCTCTTCTGGTTCTTTGGGAATCCAGTAAGTGGGAATGCGCAAAGCAGATTTATAGTGGATGGAAGTAAACATGATCTCCGATAACCGGTGAAGTTGTGTCTATTTCTATAGAAGCGATAAGGTGCTTTTAACTAGAAGCACAAACACATCTAAACCATGAAACTAGAGTTTGCTTATTTTACTGGTAAAAGAGGGAGTATCATCTAAATTTAGCCTAGTTACACCGTAGGTGAGTGATCTCTGTAACACTTCATTTTTATTTACTTACTTCCTTCTAATAGGAGAAATAGTTGAACACAAAGTTTAGTAGAGAAAATAGGAACAAGCAAGGCTGAGTAGCACAGTGTGAGAGGTTGCCTATTAGAAAAGTTTCATGAAAACATTTTTTCAGGCAAGAAATAAGCCATTGGTTTTTGTTTGCTTCTAAACTAGAGAAGACACACCTAAGTGAAAGAAACAAAAATAGCATGCTGCAGGGACAAGTTGAAATGCCCACAATTTGCCAAAAGCAAGGACAAAACTTCATGTGGCAGGTGTCCTTTCTAGGAGTCTTTTAGAATTGCAATTCCAGGGGCTGGTCCAGAAGGTGGGGGTAAATCCACCCCCCCATACACTGCCCTTCCGTCACTTCCATCTTAGGAACCTGAGCTGCATAGGGAAGCGAAGTGCAGGAGTGTCTTCAACCTCAGAGAGTACCTGCTTGCTTCCAAATGAGGATGCAGTGGAACACGTGAGCTGAGTATGGTTCATTTGGGTTTGGGTTTTTTCCTCTAAAATTTGTGAGAAGGGTTTCCTGCAGTATTTTGAAACTTGTTTCCTGGTGATAGGTTTTAGATACAAGAGCTAAGATGATAATCAGACGTTATATTTAGATATTATAGCCAGATATTATATTTAGTTATAAGAGCTAAGATATTCAGGACTGCTAAAATCATCTTAGCCAGTGGTTTATAGCTGTTATTCAAATACAAGCAAATGATCTTGAAGCTTTTCATGACAGTTTAGTGAAACTGAAACCCTCACAGCCTCAGAGCTTATGCTAAAGAATTGGGAGGCAAAGAGGAGGAAGACATTTTCATACTGGTCAAACAAACACACAGTATTCTAGCTCCAAGTACCTTAAATACATCTATTTAAAAATGTGGTTGTCTACAGAGGGGAAAAAAATGTTAACTAGCTTTTGAATGGTGGTAAGATATTTTATAAAGTATCCATAAAATTTTTCAGTCTCTTATTTAAAGGCAAGTAATATGGTCTTGCTCTAAGACAATGCAATGTATGTGATTGATAGTAATGAAATACAGTGAGCATACATCTTTCAGATGCATGCAAAGAAGTGCAAAGAAGCTTTGGGATAGTCAGCAATCTGACAGTGCTCGGAAGCCCACGTCCTGACTGCCCCGATGTAAACAGCATTCACAGGAAGGGGGAAGCAGCTACCAGAGACAGGAAGGTTGAATTTAGCATCAAACTCCTTATCTAGGGCAGAGTGGGCTGCTCAGGATGCAGATGAGAAAAAGTGTATAAATTGCTACAGCAGGCTGTGATAGCTGCCTGGCCGTAACACCCTTCCTGGGAAGACCATTCACATCGATGTAGTCAGGGTACAATCTTGCGCATGCAGATGGGTTTAGGAAGAGATTATATCCTGGGGCCAGTTATCCAAAAAACTGCTTACCATGGTGTATTACGGTCTCATTCATTCTCAGTTACTGTCACTTGCAGAAACAGATTGATCTGCATGCTAAAGTAAGAGGGTGTGTGTCTTTTAAAAATAAAAAGTTTATCATAGTAAGAATTATTATTAGTCTTACTAGCCCTAAAGAAATATAAGCCCTTCCTGAATCCTAATACACACTGCAATATCTGGTTCAATTTTTAGACTACAGGTTTTATATCAGAGCTGGCACAGCTCTGGTTCCAGCGCTTTAGGGATAAAAGCTGTTGCAGCATTGTTTTACTGCTTTGAATCAGTGAGGCATCTTGTTTACAAGTGGAAGATAAACAGCTTCAAAACATTCTTTGCAGTGTAATCGGTTGCTCATTAACATATGATGCCAAGTTTCCTTTTGATTTCTGTGTATATCTTGGGAAATCCATCCGCCCTGAGCCAACAGTGCAGCAGGGCACCATTCAATCAATACATGCTCCTCAGTGGCTGAAATGAAGAGTTAACACAAAATTGTAGCATCCTCTGCACTGATTTTTCTATGAATGATGACTCTTATTTCTCCCCTCTTCCCCAAAGTATACTGCAAAATTATTTCAGATTTTCTCAAAACTTTATTCAAGCTAAGATTGAGAGCTGGAAACACTTTAAAGCAGTCTTTTAGTTGCATCTTCCCACATATGTCTGAAACACCACTTTTCTTTTCTTTTTTTCCATGCTAGACATATATTTAGTTCAATTCCAGTGAGGAGGGCTGGAAACAATTAAACTATGAAAAAGGAGAGTGGTACAAAAGAGTC